TTCATCATTTTAAATAAGGAGAGTGGCTTTCCAACACCAATTCTTTAAAAGAATATTATTTATCATTCCAAACATGTTTTGTGGCTAGAGTGAAAGAAGATATTTTTGTGCGGCTTGATTTAATTGTATTTTGTCTTATGTTGTTGTTGTTATGTGCCGTTGAGTCAGAGCCGACTCATAGCGACCCCTCCTTGGGTTTCCGAGGCAGTATCACTATGGATGCATAGTGGCTAAGACACTTGCCTGCTAACCAGACGGCTGGCGGTTCAAACCCACCAGCCACTCCTCGGAAGGAAGGTTGGGCAATCCTACTTCCGTAGTGATACTGCCTCGGAAACCCAAGGAGGGGTCGCTATGAGTCGGGGCCGACTCGACGGCACATAACAACAACAACAACATCACTATGGAAGTAGATTGCCCAACCTTCCTTCCAAGGAGTGGCTGGTGGGTTTGAACCGCCAGCCTTCTGCTTAGCAGTCAAGTGCCATAGGTACTATGCTATCAGAGCTCTTATGATTATCCTTTAATTCCATCCTAACCCATTTCATTTCACTTTAGCAAGAATCATCTTATGATAAAGAGTTACGATGAAGTGTGAGTTTCTCAAATGATAGAAATCATTTTCTAAGTCCCTAAAACTGCTATCTATTTTAAAACATGGGAGCTCTGGTAGCATAGTGCCTAAGGCATTTGACTATAACCAGAAGGCTGGCAGTTCAAACCCACCAGCCACTCCTCGGAAGGGAGGTTGGGCAATCTACTTCCGTAGTGTTACTGCCTCGGCAACCCAAAGAGGGGTCGCTATGAGTTGGGTCTGACTCAATGGCACATAACAACAACAACGACAACATCTAAAAACATGACAAGGATCAATTAAATAAATAAGCCAATCTTCTACTATTCAATGACCTGTTTCTGAATTATCTGTTATTTTTATGGGTTTTTTTTTCCTTCCAATTATTTGTGTCCAACTTTTGGCCAGCTCATTTATCACATCTCATTCCCACCAGTTGAAAAACTGTTTAAATATAAAATGTGTTGAAAATTACTTTTTATAAATCTCTAATTTAAACATCTTGTCACCTTAAGGAAAGTGAGTACTATTATTTCCCACTTTATAGATGAGGGAATTGAAGTTACGTCATTAAATAATTTGCTCAGAATAACTCTGCTAGTAAGTGACAAAGGTGGGACTGCATAAGTTCAGAGCCCAAACATGTAACCTGGCCTAAGGTATACCATAAGGTCCACACTAACCCATTTTGGTGCTTGTGAGCAGTTCCTAAAAGTCTTTAAATTAAAAAAAAGATGAGATGATTATGTCTGGATAATATGAAATTTATAGTGAAATGTTAAAAAAAAAAAAAAAAGATTCAACTAAGCCAAACTGTCTTCTAATAACAAAGATACAAAAACGTCAAAAGGGACATTAAACCCAGGTTATATTTGATGGAAAGATGTTTTAGAGTGACATAAAGAAGTGATTGTTTCTCACAAAAGTGTCTGTTAATTGAAATATCGCTTGTGGCCTTTTAGACAATAATCACCAAGGCAAACCCTTCAGAGAAGAATGAAGATCATCCAGGTTTAGATTAGAAAACCCTAATATAGTGTCTCCATCATTCCTATTTCCTCTAGACTTTGCTTTTAGTGGGTAGGATTAAGAAATTCAGTATCAAAACTTCTCCTTTCATAATATGGCCTCCAGATGGCTGACTAAAATTTATTCCATCACCTTGAGGTTATCCAAGTTTCCTACAAAGGGGAACTGGAGGTGGGGGAACAAACATGCAAATACTTAAAATAGCTTGTTTGAGGGTATAAGTACTTTTGTGTATAGGTATCTATGGTAGAACTGTGATTTTTTAAAAAAGCTAAAACATAGGTATTAAGAGGTTGTTTTTATTTTTGTTAATTGCTGTTGAGTTGCCTCTGACTCACAGTGACCTTATGATATACAAAATATTGCCTGGTCCTATTCCATCTTCATAATCATTGGTATGTTTCAGTCCATTGTTATGGCCATGAAACAAGACATAGAAAAATGTTGGATGTGTTCTGGTGTTATTTTCTATCTTATTCATCAAAATTTGCATTTAGGGAAGCCCCAAATCCTGGTTCAGATGTCTAAGGGATTCTGGTGGGTATATCTTATGTTTATCACCAGTAAAGAGTTATATTTCAAAGGACATTAAATTGACTTTTCATTAAAGTAAGAGATCTTTAAAATGGTACACATTTAAAAATATGGCAATGCACACCTTTGAAAAAAAATTATGAAAGTATTTCTGGTAAAATCTATTTAATCTCTTTGATTGAACATTCTTGCAGGGATTAGGAAGACTGTATGATTTATATAAGCAATACTGTATTTAATACCCAAACTATTGGTTTATATGATTAGCATAAAGTAGATACTGTGATTGGAAAAAGCACACATAACCCCAAAGAACTTCATAAAAATACAAAATCAAGCAAAATTTTACTACAGCAATTACAAATGGCTCTGCAGATGAAATTCATGGCCACTCTGCCACCAATAATTGCTTAATGGAGAAATATTTAATTAGTAAAAAGCCTTTGTCTAGATTTCAAGAGCACACCCCGCCCCCCCAGAATCACCACATGCTCCCAGCTAAGTTCATTCGTGTCTTAAACATGGTCCCTCCGTCTGGCCAAATGGATTATAATTTTAGCTTTCTTTCATCCTTTCCTCACACTTAATTACTCACTCTTCATCTACTTCAAACTCTGCCTTATTTGGTCCCTTGCCCTGTTACTATGGCTTTCTTAACTACTTTTTCCACTTGTAATATCTTCCTTTTCCACTATGCTGTTCATATTCTTTCTTCCTTTAAAATTTAACTCAAACCTGGCCTCTCTTCTTTGAGAAATATTCCATTCTTTTCCATTCCAAGTTGCTCCATCTATGTAAGCTTGTTGTAATTGATTGATTTAGATTTGTTGAAATGTTGCTTTAACATATAAGCGCAGTCAATCCATGTCATGCGTTTCTTTTTTTCAAAGGAGATTATGGACTCTTTAAGAGAATGTCTTCTAAAAATCCTATCCACCCCATTAGAAAAGCATTCACACACACACACACACACCCAAAAAAGGAGCTGAGTAAATTCTGTTGATTGATTGTTTGACTGGTCTGCTATACTTTCTGTCCCAGGGAAACCAGTAAAACATGATTTCAACAAATTTTCTCCTTGAAGAATGGAAAAGTGAGGACTTCCAAATTGTAGCAATCTACACACTGTGCAGTTTATTTTAAATTGATACAGAATGTGTAATGGTGACAGAAATTGTGTCCTTGAGGTGAGTTTGGTGGTGTAGTCAAATATAAACCATCCATATGTTAATTTAAAAAATGGAACAAAATTATTGGAGGTAATTAATATGAAACTAGATGTTTTGAGTTCATTTCTAGCTCTCAAACAAAGCCAGAGCTTCACTTGAATATCAAAGCCTACAGTAAAATTCAAGGTAAATTTGAAAATAGAGACAGATGTGATGTAAACTTTAAATTCACGCTACACTTTTACAATCATTATCACGAGTATGTTTATATATTAGAAAATACGTAAATATGAGATATAAGGGGTGGGAGGTGGAGAGAGGTCTCTGGGTAGCCTGAGATTACATGGTGGTGAGTGTTACTTTGTTTTCAATCCATCTGTGGGTCGCTGATTAGATTCAGCACGCTGGCCAGCTCCCCCTTCCGCCAGGTTTATTGACCTAAGTGAATGGAGCAGGGTGAAAGAAGACACCATCTGCTGCTTTGTATTAATAATTACCAGAAAAAAAGGGATGAAGACAGTGCGACGGAACCAACGCATTAGATACCGAATTGTTGATGCCGCTGAGTTCTTGGGGGGTGTCTCTGATCACAGGGTTCCCACTCCTCCACCCAGATTCTCCAGCAAGCTGTAATGGAGGAAGAGCTGAGCAACCAGAAATGCTTCTATTTCTCTGTTGGTCTTTTCTCAGTAGAAAGTAATCTAATTCTTGGAGTTGAAGAATGTTCATTATAGTTTTGGGGGGATTAGGTAAGTGGGTGGTTCTGCTTAAAGAGTTGAGCTGCACCCTCGATGTCCTGATCCACTTTTATTTTAAATGGAGTGAATTGCTGTAATCAGTTTGGTGGGACAAACTGACAAGCTGCCCAGTTCAGTGTCCCCACACCCCAGGTGTGACGAAGCCTGGGGACAGTAGATGAACCCTTTATTTACCATATGGAATCTCGCCAACTTTCTCTTGGTAAGACTTCATTTAGCTTCTCCAGTCCTCTCTTCGCTGACAAGAACTCACCACTAGTTTCTACATGTCTACCTCCCCAATAACTTTTTGTCCTCCCAAAGGGGCGAAGGGTCGACGCAATGAGAGACAGGGATCATAAAGGGCTTTATCCACAAAGGGACGGAGAAGGCGTTAGGGCATCACTGAGGCCCTGAAACTTTGAGGCACGCTCCCTCCCCAATAACTTTTTGTCCTCCCAAAGGGGCAAAGGGTCGACTCAATGAGAGACAGGGATCATAAAGGGCTTTATCCACAAAGGGACGGAGGGGAAGGCGTTAGGGCATCACTGAGGCCCTGAGACTTTGAGGCACGCTCTTCGCTCTTCCCTCTCCAGCACTCCGCAGCCGCCCTTTATGTTGCGGACACGGGAGAGTTAAGCCAATAAACACGTAAGCGCCGCTCCCTCCCCAATCGGCAAGATGCCTCTTCGGCTCTTGGCTGCATTGACAGCTTGCAACACTCGGCATCTTTTCTGGAGGTGCCTCCTTCGGCGGCTGCAGATGGCATCCGGCTGCGGGCTCAAGGCTCGCAATTAATTCTCCCCCTTGCCCACCTCTGGTCTACGAACGTACCTCTCCCTTCCCCTCCTCCCTTCGCGCTCCTGTGTCTGAGCCCAGCTCTGGGTCGCCGGGCAGAGGAAGCATTCGCAGCGACCAAGGCTGAACAGCAGCGCACTGGCTCCCTGATTTGGGGAGAAGCGACCACCCGGGAGAGCCGACCCCCAGCTGCCTCCGGCGCCCCCCACCTTTTGCACCCCAAGCCGGGAGCGCCAGGGATCCCCTCTCCCCAGGCGCCACCATGCTGGACCCTTCGTCCAGCGAAGAGGAATCGGATGAGATCGTGGAGGAGGAGAGCGGCAAGGAGGTGCTCGGTTCGGCCGCGTCCGGAGCGCGCTTGTC